AGATACATTAACTAGCATTTGTGGTTCAGTCTCAAGATGAAGAGGCATATTCAAAAAGGTGACAGAAAACACCAGACCAGAAAGAATTGGTGAGCTCTATTTTATAGCTAAGGAAGATGCTTTTGATGTAGATTCCCTAATGCTGAATGGAAAAGTTGGATCTCTTCTTTTGCTTCATTCCCTTTTAAATATAGAAGCCAGTAGTTAATGTATGAGGGCCGAGCTTCCTAGAAGTAGTTTAGTATATTTGGATATGTGGTTTTTGGTTTGGCTCCTTTCTGATTTAGCAATGTTGCTCTTTTGTTACCATAAAATAAAACAGGGCATCAATAAATGCTGTATCTGGAGCCTTTCTTTTCAGTAGGAATTTTATCTAAGCAAACAGCACCTATTGTGATTAACTATTATCTACAGCATATTTTAAACCATCATATGCTTAAATATTTTCAAGTTATTCAGGCACCTTTATAAATATCTTGGGGAAAAGACATAGTTTCCCAAACTATATAGTGGTACTTCCCTATTACCACCTTTTTCACTCTCCAAACCCTCAAAAGAATCTTGAAGGTGATCTGTGATATTCATCACTTCTGCAGACTTGTAAACTGGATGGAAATCACTGCAGCAACCAAACTACTACAGATCCTGCACCAACAAAAAAATCCCCTACCTCCTCTTTGCACAACACAGAAAGGAAAAAAAAAAAGGAAAAAGCAATAGCTTGGTTTTGCACACTGGTTGTTTCCATACTAAAAAAAGGAAGCAAGAACAAAGCATTTCACCCCTATTCTTTTGTTGGAGCTATTGAGGGAGAGCTGCAAAGCCCTGAAACTAGCATTTCCCTTACAAGAGCTGAAGTTCAGGAGCTGTAAGATGTGAGATAAGAGGTCTCTAATGGGTAAAGGGAGCAGCAAAGTCTTTAAAAGCCTCAACCAACTAAACCCAAACTAGCTCCACAGCACTTTGAATCACAGTGCAGCTGATCTGGAAAAAATATAAGCTCAGCTCTGCAACATTACTCTACTGACATCATGAGAACACAGAAGTCTAGAGCTGCTTTCAAACTGGCACAGAATCCTTGTGTGGAAGAATGCAATGCTTAATATACTTCTAAAATGTCAGGAAACCAACAGAGTTAGGATACTCTAGAATCTTACCCTAAGATAAGTGTTATCTTGCTCAAACACAAAGTAATTTAAGCCTTTGACTGAAGAAAGCATTCCTAATGGTTTATATTAATTATAAATATTCTGTTAGATTATTAATAACTCAGCAAAAAATTATAGAAAACTGTACATCAGCCTTACATTCTGGGGGAAAACACATACTTTTGGAGCCTCTCAAGCACAAATTCTATTCTAATATCTGATTATGGTTCTTAGGATATTGCCACATGATTGTTTTTGTTCTGCTTTCACCCTTCAGCTCCAGGTGTAACAAAATTCCCCTTGCCCCATTCTGTACAAAACAAGACAAATTATTTGCCAGCAAACTCCCCCCCTCCATGTTTTTAATATATGTGTACATTTTTCTGTTTGCAAATACACACAGAGAGACACATTATATAAGGAAGCCACGCTGCTGTGATGACACAAATCTTTCTGTTTCTGTTAAGAAGCCTCTGCTAGCTATGATGCTGGAAGGGTAACATGGCAATATTTTTACAGCTGCATTCTTTGCACAATAGTCCTAACCTAGTTTCTAGATCCTTTAGGAATATGTCTGAGGAAGGGAGAGTTAATGGCTCATTTAAACCAGAGGGGCTGGGAGGTGAGGTTGAGGCAAGAGAGCACTGCATGCTGTTTCCATAAGCAGGGAAAATCAACCTTTAATCAATTGTATTCATCAGTTGGGAAACTGGTGAGAAGGGTTAAGAACAAGATCACTGAAAAGGTTCCCTCTATCCCTTCCTTAGCAAAAGCTCCAGCTGATCAGGGATCAAGGAACTAGGATGCATGGCAGAACAAGAGCAGAGCCACGAGTCCCAACATCACCAAACAAAGAAACGAACAAACAAAAAAGCTTTGCTGAATTTTAGTTATCCTGGAAGAAAGCCAGAAATATCCTGATTTATTCCTTCCAGTAAATCAAAGATATGGGAATAGGCAGGTCTAGAACTGATCAGGGAGTGGCAGGAGGGCCCACAGTCTATTACGGACATATCTGTGGAACATTCAGAATGAAACATCCTAAGGAAAAGCCCATTTTAGTTTGTAAATATATGTATTTATGTAGCACATATACAGTGTGCGTTTATATATACATATCAATTCAAATAATTCTGGACTACTATAATGCACTCACATAGCTAAGGCTACCTACATGGGGCTTGGAAACTTCAGCTGAAGGTTGCTATTAAATCAGAGAATAGGTCTGGCTACAGGAAGCATGTGATTCCCTGCTTTGAAATTTTTAACTGATTAACAATCTGGTTCAGGTTCAGTTCAAAGTACTGATTATAATCTGAAAAGCCTATTGAGAAGACTACCTTCTCCCTTAGGAGCCTGCCCTGGTATTTGTATCTTCAAGAGAGGGTATACTGCATTTGGTGGCAATTCAAGAGATGGTCTTCTCACTCAGGCTTTTGAGCTCCTTAGCAAGAAAAGTCAACCTAACAAAAAGTATTCTTTAGGCAGGCTTTTGATACCAAGCAGGCTCTGGCTGATCGAGTTGGAAGCTTTTTTTTTTTTTTAAGTTTTTTCCTAGTATGTGTTCTAATTATGTTTTAGTTGTATTTTTAATGTTATGGTTTTAACATTATTTGTTGGCTGCCATGACCACCATCTGTTAGTGAAGAAACAGGATATAACTCAAATAAATAAAGAACCATAAACCTCTTATATTACCAGCTGTTGCTTAATGGAATTAATGGAGCAATTCTATGTATTTCAGGATCCTATTTGGACTGAGTAAGGCATAAATTGCCCTACATGTCTACTCAGAAGTAGATTCTCTGTATTCAGCCTAGCATGTTTAAGACTTTATCAGCAAATCCCCTGAATTAGGGGATTTATTAAAAATGCCACATCTCCTTAATTATAATGTGTCAGGGTTCAGATTCAGAGAAACAGTAATCAGAACCGGGGCTAGATTATGAATCCTCACTGAATGTTTCTGTAATATTAATAAGGCAAGATGTTAAAAAAATATTGGGAAGCACCCAGTTGTTGGGAATAAATCTGTTATATTAATTCAGTAACATTTTTATGCATATATATTTGAAAGTGTTGTTTTATTATTTACTCCATCGCACTCTCCTTTCCATAATGCTTCAGGGGTGTATGTGTACAATCAGTTCCTTCTCCAGCAGCCCAATTCCTGCTTCTGACACTACATTTTTCCCTTTCCCAGAAGCCTGTGGCTTCTCATCCCCAAATAAATAACTGAAAGGCCTTCCAGTCCATGAAGTTTCCACCTGGATGTGGCCCTCTCCTGAAGCATGATGAAAAGCCCCAAGCACTGTAGTAGAGCTCTTAAGTTTATATAGAGGCCATCTGCCCTTTCACCAAAGATTAAAGATTCATAGCATTATTTATCAACATTTTCTTACTTTATGCTAGTCACAGAATTCAGCTTTTCTTAATATAAAATTATGAATGTGCAGGTATGGATAAAAAAACATCTCTATGAGAATGCATACAAGTGACACTGGCCCATTTTTGTATCCAGTACTGAGCGGATACTATTGGAATACAACAAAGATTCACACAATTTTTTTTAAGGGTATGCGATCAGAAATGTTGGCCATGACATATTGACTTGGTATCTCAAAATATGACAGTATTTGCATTAGTAATAGTATGTGGACAAACAAGCTCTACTACTCTCCCCACCTATCAACAGCAGAGCCAGCAATTACAGTTGAGTTACAAACCCAAGCAAAAAAATCTAAATAAGATGTCTATGCATTTTGAAAATATGGAATAAATTTAATCCTCCTGTTGCTCTCAGTAAATAGTTAATGTATCTCAAGGCTATGGCAGTAAAGGACAAGAAATATGGAAAGTTCCTGAAGCCCCAATTTAAAAATGCCAGAATCTTGGTGTGAAAATCAAAGAAAGCACTCACTCACCTTTCTATTTGCCTTTTAATTTCAGTACATTTCTAGAGTTACAATTTTGAGCAGCTCAACTCAAAAAATACAATGCAATCTTTCATGAAAAATATTGCAGCTTTGCTGCCTTGATACCTGACTGCAGTTTTTAGGAGCTGCACAATCACTTTTTAATGCAACTGGGTTTTCAAGCCATTTAGTGTTAAATATTCCACAAAACCATTCAACATTAACATATATACTTTAGGAAATAGTGTATGGGGGGGTTACAGCAAGGGAGTTAGAAATACAAGGATTATATAAATGCCTCGTAAGATTCCTGCTTGCAGAGCATCAATACTGTACTGTACAGTGCTGTACAGTAGTGTAAAACTAGCCTCAGAAACAAAATAGGGGTTAACAGTTCCTGCCTAATTAGTTAATAAGGAAGGACTCGATCTCTGGTCTTCTTCCCACGCACACTCCGATGGGATTCAAGAATGCTTCCAGCGTCACACCCCTTTATTGCTTTTCAGGGATCACTGTGCCATTTCCTCAAAACTGCAACGTTGGGAGTACCCCCCCCCCTTGAACGAATGCACGAGACTAACAATGCAGGGGTGGTGGTGTAGGAAGTGGGCCACCTACCCAAATGATTTCTCGTTCGACAATTAAACCAGGTTTTGTTTTCTTCCTTCATCCCGCTCCTCCCATCGCCACCCACTTTATCGCAATTCCCCTTGACCAAGACAGTCAGGGCTGGCCGAAGAAACCCGAAGGGCTCGGAACGGGGCATCCGCGATCATTCCCCTCCACCAGCAATGCTGGATTCCAGGTTCTCCAGCGCCTCCGATCCGTTTCACCGAAAAGCAGAATTCAGCTCCGAGCCATTTGGCGCCATTTACCCCCGAAGGGGCAGCAAAGCAGAAAGGGCGCGCGGCTCGGGGCGCTCGCGACGGTGCCTTACCAGCCAATAATCTGGTCCCGCCTGAGCGACGCGGCCCAGGCTAGGAGAGACGGTTCTCCTACGAGCAGCAACAGGACAGTGAAAGGCGAGTTGCGAAGTAGCAGGGGAATACCGAAGAGGGGGCGTTTTCCGTGCCTTTCGTTTTCCTTTAGCTCAACACTGGCGGGAGTCCGGGAGAGCGCCGTCCTTCCCGTTCAGCTGGGTTTCTACAGCGATTCAATTCCCTCGGCTCGTCACTCAACGCCAGATAAGCCCTCCTCAGTCACTCCCATCTCACAGGGTTTCCCCCTCCCTTCCTCTATACTTACACACACACACACTCTCCTCGCTACAGAACAGATGGGGGGTGGGGGAGAATCTCTGTTCCTCTTCAAATGCACTCTCTGGTTGCCCCACCATTATGAAATGACTTCTCGGTCGCCGCAGACCCTTTTCCCATCTCGTGCCAAAGCGCGGCTTCCTATTGCATTTTTGTACATTGCTGACTACTGCTTGGAACTCTGGAGAAGACGTGCGTGTGTGTGCGTGTGTAATAATGACAGTTCAGGGGACATAGCCAGCATATTTTCTAGCTGAGGCATTTTGGACGGGTTAAAAAAAAAAGTAACGAGGAGTTTCTCACAGCCAAGAGTGTCTGATCCGTCTCTCTCTCTTTTTTTTTTAACAAGACAGCAGGTTAATATAATCCGTTTTGGAGCAGCTTTTCCTTGGTCAGATGTGAATGTGTCACGGGGTTGGGCTTCTTTTTTTCTCCCCAAATGTTCGGGGATTGTGAGACAGGCTTTTCAGACGCTTGGGACATGTTACTGCTGATATTTATGAGCCAACCAAGCTCTTTTTTGCTTGTGAAAAGATGTGGGTTTTGTTTTTTTTTAACTCCATATTTATTCATTAAAGAAGTTTTCCGGTCTCAGCCATGCTGTCGGTAATGGTGGTTCATTTGTTTAAATAAATCAGAACTATTGTTTTTCAACCTACTTTTCTGATTAATGCCTGTACTTTAGATAAAAATGATTAATCTGAAGATTGGTTTAAAAAGTGACTATAACCAAGCACTCCTACTCATTTTTACTCACAAGAAAATGCTCTCAGGTACCGTAGCACTCTGACTTTAGGGAGTTTTTTTGCTTGCACACAATATTTCATGGCACAGGCCTGCACACCAGTTCAATGGGACTTTCTCCCATGTAAATGTGTAGTGAACTGCATTCTTGGAACAGTGCCATAGTAACTACTTCATTTTTTGTCTTCCAAACTTGCATTTCTGGTTTATTAAAATCAGTGATAGTTTTACTATTACTTAGAAGATAACAGATTCTCATCCTGATTATCTTCTTAATACAGTCAAGTATTTTTTGCATTTGCAGTCTGCTAAGCATGTTTCTAACAACTCTGTATATAGAAGCAGTCAAAATATTTTGGAACACTTGAATGTTTTACATTTCCACATTACAGTACACTGTATTTTCAATAAAAGTTCTTTTCTAATCACAGAGTTCAAGCATGAGTTTCATATTATGTAGCTTAGTGAGCATTTGGGGAAGCAGTGAAGATTCTTCTGGAACACAACTGCCGTTTCAAAACCAGCTGGGAAAATAAAATTTACAAAAGACTTGGACAGTAGTGTTGAAACCATCTGAACTATAAGTTAAAAGCCTCAAAAAGCATTAAAAATTATTTTGGATGTCAGAAAGTGTAGAGAAAAATATGGAAAGAGAGCAAAGAGTAAAATAAGCCCGTCTGTTTATTTTATGTATCAACTATATGCATTCAGCCAAAGGTCAGACATCTTATTTTTCCATTTCATAGAGTGCATAAGAATCAAAATATGCTCATATGTGTTGCTTCGTTACGGAAAGTAATTGAACTATAACAATATATTGTCCAGGAATTTGCATAGCATTGGTATAATTTAAAATGTTTAAGTTATATGTTGACATTTTTCATCTTCAGACATATTTCCATAATTGGATATTTTAGTAATTTGAGCTCAAGTGACAAGAAACACATCTTTTATAAATCTGATCCAGTCTTTTCTTTGCTGCCAGGAAAGTCCAAATATAGAAAGATGCCAAAGCCTCATAAAATAATATTTACTTCCCCTTCTTGGGTCACACTAGAACTTATACATGAATACAGATAATAGTATCACAGTCAAAACAGTTGTGGGACAGAAGGAATCTGAATAGGAGTAGAAAGCACAGTTCCCCTTTTGCACTAGTAATTTCTCTGTTCAAAATCTTGCATTATATTTCTCTTGATACGTAGCTATAAGAATGAACCCTCATTTGCAACCTTGTTTGCAGAGAGGAAGCGGAATGACTAGTGGAGAATCAATTCTGACCAAAAAAGGGGGGGGGCAGAGCTCATGAGGAGTAAGCATCTCTCCCTATCAATTCGTTCTCCTCTTTTCCTTTCCCAAACCTGTTCTGCTGATTAAAAGTGATACACGTGTTATCATATTAAAACACTTTCCCTCTTGGTCTTTTTGCTATTCAAAATTGTTCCCTCGGGCCCTTTTTTCCTCTGCAGGGTTTCAAATCTGTCTTTACATTCATAAATCTATCTTTAGAGTAGCATGAGAAAGAATGAATTTGGGAGAGAATTTTCAGTGCAGAAACAGTAGTGGGGAGCATAGGGGGCCACAGGGTCCACTACTTTGATCAAAATGATAAAAGCAGTGTTGCACCATTGTGATGCATGCTCTGCCTCATCTGACCATGCACGCAATGTCACCATGTGTGCATGAAAGCGGCACAGCATGCATCACAACACTGCTCTGATCATTTGGCCTCCCTTACCCCTCTCTGCTGATGCCTCTAGCAGAAGGCAAGTACAGTATATCAGCATTCCCCTCCTGCACCTCTCTGTATCATTGCACTACAGAAAGCTGCTTTGTTATTAATTTGAATGATTATGGGATACTGTTTCCCGTTTTAGCCTATGATATGAATTCCTGTTTTAAGACTGGGAAAATTATTGATACCTTTAAATTTCAGAACTATGATATTTTCCAATAGGAAGACAAGAGTTTTTTCCACAAATAATTACTGTGAATTGAGAGGGTGCTTTTACATTTTCCCATAAGAATAGAAGAAGTTGCTGAAAACAGGAATGAATAGGAGATACAGATGACTGCCGAGATCCCTGCTGAAAAAAGTGGATGCCTTTGAAAATTAGTGTGAAGATTTGCTTTGTAGAGGACAGACTGCTCAGTCAATTGAAATCTTTTGGCAAGGCTTGAACTGGGTGTCTCTCATCTTTTCTTCCCTATCTGGCTGCATCTTTTCTATATCTCTTTCCAATTTTGTTGTCTGTTTCTACTCTCTCCCCTCACTCTATTTCCATTTTTTTCTCTCTCTTTGCTTTGCTTTGTCTGGAAGGAGGAAGGGAATATGTGTAACTGTGAAAGTGTCTGAAAGAGAATAGTTAATATGTACAGAAAGAGAATATATACAGATGTTATATTTTATCAGTGGTGTACCTTATTTTGCAGGCTATTCATTTTCATCAGGAGTTATTCATTTTTTATTTTAGTTCTGTCTTCTGTTTTTTTCAGAGTACAGCTATTGGCAGATATTATATTCAGATATGATACTGATGATCTGCGTGAATCAACCCACTGCAGGATGAAGCTTTCCTCATTGAAGCTTATGGACTGGGATCTACCATGCTGGTCCACTGTGGGCTGGTAGAGAGTAGGTTCCGAGTTTGGGGCTGAGAGAGAGAGTGACTGGCCCGAGGTCACCCAGATGACTTCTGTGCCTAAGGGAGGACTAGAACCTGAGTCTTCCCACTCCTAATCCAACATCCTAATCACACATACACACATATGTATGTGTGTGTGGATATACACATGCATACACAGACATACACAAACATATACACACACATTACAGGTTGATCAGGCAGGGAAGCTGGGAACCGTGCAGGGGTTTTGTGTGTGTTTATAATATTTTTCTGTGCATTCTTACAGAGGGGTGGGGAGTGTCTTGGGTTCTGGGCCAACTTCATCCCTGTTACTCAGTATTTTATTTGGAAAAGAAGGTAGGTGAATTTCTAAGAGAATCTTAGCAATGTCTGCTACTAGAATCTAATTAGGGGTGAGGGATATGATAAAGTGAATGTACCACCTATTTGTACACATCAGCATCTCATCCCAGGAACAAATTCTTCAGTGATAGGATTATCTTTTTCTGAAACATTTTGTGGTAAAACCTTATATGTATTGAACCAATTCTAGATCCAATGAGAAGAGTTGTTCCATCATTATTATGAGAGATTGTGGGGACACTGAGAAAAGAATGGAAGGGAGAGTAGAAATAAACAGTTAAGAGATAGCACGCAAGTCAGTTGACAACTTATCTCATAAATGGCAACTTAGCCTGGGAGGCAAGAAACCTGTGAAGAAGCATTTCAAATCATTTAAAGAGGCTCTATCTTAATTAACTCAGTATAAATGAGAGTGGCAAGTTCCTCTTACAGTTTCCAATACAGTTTCTGTATTTATCCCAGACTAGCATTAAAGAGACCTTGCTGAAATCTGTAGTTCTTGCTTCTTTGATCTTATCCAGCTGTGGAGGGTTTGACAGCTATGGAAAACAGCTGCATTTTAGAAAGCTTCCTATAAATGAAGGTGGCATTAGCACTTCACATGATGATTTTTTTAGGATTCTATTTACAGAATTTGTATATAACCAAGTTGGAGGTTAAGGGTTAAGGGTTCAGGTTTGAATTAGGAACCTCACAGTAACAAGGCAGCTGATATAGTGACCTGCTTAGGATAGTATCCTTCAGACTTTTGGTTCTGGCTGCATCCGTATCCTCAACTAAATCTGGATAACAACTGCTCATGTTCCTCCCAGGCAGAGTTGACAACTAAAATTGTAGGTGGAGAATCAAGACTGTGGTGTCTGCCTATGGTCAAAGTATTCCATGGCAGTATTCTTACAATCCAGGCTGCTAAATTAATACTTATATCTGTGTGATTCTGCTACTGGGAGAAGTAACAATTATATTAGTTTGAAGTTCACCCAATCCCATATTTTCATTTCTCCCTGAAGCTGATGTCTAGTGAATAGAGGTATACCGCTAAAATGAATATAAATACCAAATCTTTCAAAATTATTATCAATTTAGCATATCTTTGTGGGAATTCAGCATATTTTAGAGTGATTTCTTAACTGCCCCACACAGAGTACTAAATGATAAAATCATGTACCTTATGTAATTTTCCATAGAAA